ACCTACCAACTCCTGGTGTTGGAGTTGGTACACCTGTGGACTATCCTGGTGCTGGGGTTGGTACACCTGTGGACTATCCTGGTGCAGGGGGTGGTACACCTGTGGTCTATCCTGGTGCTGGGGTTGGTACACCTGTGGACTATCCTGGTGCAGGGGGTGGTACACCTGTGGTCTATCCTGGTGCTGGGGTTGGTACACCTGTGGACTATCCTGGTGCAGGGGGTGGTACACCTGTGGTCTATCCTGGTGCTGGGGTTGGTACACCTGTGGACTATCCTGGTGCAGGGGGTGGTACACCTGTGGTCTATCCTGGTGCTGGGGTTGGTACACCTGTGGTCTATCCTGGTGCTGGGGTTGGTACACCTGTGGACTATCCTGGTGCAGGGGGTGGTACAACTGTGGTCTATCCTGGTGCTGGGGTTGGTACACCTGTGGACTATCCTGGTGCAGGGGGTGGTACACCTGTGGTCTATCCTGGTGCTGGGGTTGGTACACCTGTGGACTATCCTGGTGCAGGGGGTGGTACACCTGTGGTCTATCCTGGTGCTGGGGTTGGTACACCTGTGGTCTATCCTGGTGCTGAGGGTGGTACACCTGTGGTCTATCCTGGTGCAGGGGTTGGTACACCTGTGGTCTATCCTGGCGCTGGGGGTGGTACACCTGTGGTCCATCCTGGTGCTGGGGTTGGTACACCTGTGGTCTATCCTGGTGCTGGGGTTGGTACACCTGTGGTCTATCCTGGTGCAGGGGGTGGTACACCTGTGGTCTATCCTGGTGCTGGGGTTGGTACACCTGTGGTCTATCCTGGTGCAGGGGTTGGTACACCTGTGGTCTATCCTGGTGCTGGGGTTGGTACACCTGTGGACTATCCTGGTGCTGGGGTTGGTACACCTGTGGACTATCCTGGTGCAGAGGGTGGTACACCTGTGGTCAATCCTGGTGCTGGGGTTGGTACACCTGTGGTCTATCCTGGTGCAGGGGGTGGTACACCTGTGGTCTATCCTAGTGCTGGGGGTGGTACACCTGTGGTCTATCCTGGTGCTGGGGTTGGTACACCTGTGGACTATCCTGGTGCTGGGGTTGGTACACCTTGGCAGCGATATCTGTGTGTCGGTAAAGTGGTCCACTTTTCTTTGTCAACAGAGGTGGGATGGCGAACAGTGTTCTCTTAGCGTACGTTCACTCCGCACAAGTTTGTCAACAGGGAACACTTTGCACAAGTTCATCTTAAATGCCTTTCATGAGTGCAAAAGTTCACCTCTGGCGTGAATTGGGAAGCTGTTCTTTACACTAAAGTTTAATTGAAATGTTGTTCAGTCATGCACACTCCAGTTGCAAAGTTATCTGCGGGCATAAAGGTTTATCATTTGTGCACTCATCTACCTGTGCTTGCGGGGGGGTTGAACTTCAGCTCTTTGGTCCCACCTCTCAACCGTCAATCTACTGGTGTACAGATTCCTGAAGTTGACAGCACCTACACCTTGGTGAGTAGCATGGCTACTCTGCTTCACCTTCGTCATGCCCCTTCGAATCCCGGTAGCACAAATCGTGAACTTCTGATGTGCACATTTTGAACATTCCAGCCACAGTAGATGACGGGTCTATAAGTTTAGGAGGCTGGATGACCTACTTGGCGTAGATGTTGCGCCTCGACTTTGATTAGCGTATCAGACACCATGGTTGGCTCAGTGAGTCGCTTCTGCTGGGGGAACTGCACATGACGGAGCGACCATACGATGGCACAGTCGTTAATGACGGGGGGGGGGTAGTTAATGAACCACACTTGACGGGAGAGTCGTTAGCGAACCGCACGACGTGGTTCTAACGGCAGAGTCGTTAGTGAACCAAACTTGACGGGGAGTGGTTCAAGAACCACATGACGTGAGATTTGCTAGCGAACCACACTTGATGAAAAGAGTCGTTAATGAACCCCCAATTGACGTGAGAGTTGTTAACGAACCACATTTGAGAAAATTAGTTCTGTAGGGCTGTCAGACACTTGAGGAATATGTGTATCATCAAGCCGACCTCTTGAGCAAGCTAAATTGCCCGAAACTAAAGTGACCGCGGACCCACGAACAGAAAACGGAACGTCGCATCAATATGGCGAGCCGCTATCATTTTTTAGTACACGACTTTTTGACCTTAGGGAACCTGTACGTGAAGATGCTATGTACTGTTCGAGAGGACGGGGTCAGGTCAGATCCATATGCAGGATATTATAGAGGAGTGAACCCGCGTAGTGGCTTAAGACACAGACAAAGGCGAGGTTGCCGCCTCCTGACCTCTGAAATTCCGCCTCTTGTGTGGACCAACTTTTCACACTTTAGTTTAGTCGCTATAACCTCTGTATGACCCATAAGCCTCTGGTCAGCATCGAATGATTCTGTCACCAGACTTGAATGACTTTAGGTTCCAGCCTTCTTGAGGTTATCTTGAGATGATTTCGGAGCTGTGTCCCCGCGGCCCGATCCTCGACAAGGCCTCCACCCCCATGAAGCAGCCCGTGACAACTGGCTAACTCCCAGGTACCTATTTACTGCTAGGTAACAGAGGCATCAAGGTGAAAGAAACTCTGCCCATTGTTTCTCGCCGGCGCCTTGTCGGCCTTGAATGACTTCAGGTTCCAGTATTGAGTGACTTCAGGTCTCACCGCAGAGTTGTGTATTAAGAACACTTCACGAATCAAATTTTGGATCCACGGTCTGCGGTGAATCTGTCCTAGAGCATGTTGAGGCACACAGCACAATCCTCACTGTAGCTAAACAAACTTTTATCTCATGGCACTGTGGCTCTGAGGTCCGTCAGCTGTGCTCTAGACAGAGTGCACCATGTTGGAGGCAGCTATGGACGCCACAATTGTTGAGTTCCTTGCCTGGTAGAGGACTGGGTGGGGAGCGGGGAAGCCCTGGCACTCCCAAGTTCCTGAATTAACCAGACTAACCTCGCCTCAGAAATGCAGCGCTCTCTATTCTCTTCGAATTTGGCCGTAAACTCCTCAACTGTGGCCAGTTTGGAAACACAGTTGCGCCACATGTTGGGGCAAATATTAATGATCACGTATAGTGTACAATGCACTATAGTGCACTATTGTGTACTGTACTATGATGCGTTGTACTACCATGCGTCGAATTATGGTGCACTGTACTATTGTACACTATCAGTGGCTGTATTTTTTGTCAGTTTTGCAAATCAGAACCAACAATTTATTAAACTAAAATAAATATATTTTGTATGAAATGTATTTCCTTCGTCAGATTTCAGTGTACGTTAACCGGACAGTGAAAGACATGGGCTAAGGGTAAGATCATATCTGGCAGGATATGATCTTACCCTTACTCTTGATCAAGGGTAAGATCATATCCTTCCAGATATGATCTTACCCTTGAACGGTGTGATTTGATGAGGACAGAAAGATGAGTGAGGCCACAGAAGCAGTAGAGGATGAATAATGAAGCTTCGTGCAACAGGAGCACACACTGACACACTACCGTCGGTGGTGTTGGCCTGACTGGTAAACCTCCGGATTGCTTTCAGAGACACATGAAAGACCCTTCCGAATGGTATACACAAGCTTCGTAAAATTCATTCTTGAGTATGAAACCTTGTCATGGATCCTAACCCGAAAAATAATGAAACAAAGGATGAAAACGTTTAGAGATATGAAACAATGCTCGTTCCTAAGCTGAGTTATAATAGGCTCGGGGGAATAACGCTAACATAGGCAATGTTCACGACATATAAGATTTTAAGCGAGATTGATGAACCAAGAAAAGAAGAGCAATTTAGTGAAGAACATCAGAACGAGAGGACATAGAAACTAGAGAAAAAATGAGAGAGATGTTAGCAAGATCGACTTCGTTATGTCTATTCAGCGGACGTGTTGGCACTGGAGCCTGAGGTGCCCAAGCTAGTCCTATTTCGTCCTCATTAAGAAATTATAGCTATTCCTTCGGTAGTAATCCAGATGCCAAGCTCAACACAGACAAATTAGACACACACACAAGGAGAGCTGCATAAACGAGCGAGTCCTGATGGAGGGGTCGAAAGCCCCACAACCCCCCTCTCCTCCGTTCCCAGAGACCCACTGGAAGGCTTCTCCGCCTTTAAACTGGAGCCGGCTTCATTTCAGCCCGCCTGGCTATTTAGGCGGGAAAATGTTGAAGCTCCAAATTTGTGCGGCTGCCGCTGCTGCATACACAGAAAACGGGCATTTCCAAAACCTTCAGAGGACTAAAAAAACGCCTGATTATCATACGCCATTAATATAATCTAAATTGGGTGCATGCGCTGGGGACCAGCAGTTAGCGTCCTCCCGAGAGTTATACGCGCATACGCACAGGTTCGGACCCCTCGCCCACCTCGTTTGAGATCAAGATCAAGCCCCTCCCTCTCTCCCTCCCCTACGAAGTAGCCCCCTTTCCCTGCACCTAATCTTTCTCCTAGTTGGGACCATGATCCAGCTCCCTCCTAGCAAGCAATTTCCAGTGCGCTTCACTTGTTCCAGCCTAAAAGGAAGCAAAAGAGAAATCATATTATTATTATTATTATTATTATTATTATTATTATTATTATTATTATTTTTATTATTATTATATTTCTTCCTTGTGAATACTGTCTGAATATCATTTTTTGATGAAATTTTAAGATTGTGGTAAAAAACTATAGGACGTTGCTTTATTCCTGAAGGTTGGAAGATTTACTACCCAGAGCATGAAATTAATGAGCCAAAATTTTGTCTTTTCATTCCTGTGTCAATACTTCGTTAAGGCCTTCTTATCACTCCTGCTAGATTGAGTAATTATAGGCGGCAACAACACCCACGTCTCCGCTTTTTCAGGGACCCTTACAAAGCTCTCCGTCTTGATTAAGAACCAGTAATTGGAAACCACCCTTTAGACTCTATGCTGATTTGTGGCATATTGTGGAGAGGTGAGCAGCCCATATAAGATGGGACCCGACGGTGTCAGGGCCACCAGCTAGGCTACAGCCGGGGACCCGCCACCACACACTGAGCCTCCGTCACCTACCGCCATTTCGGGTCAGTGATAAAGCAAGACGACACTCTCAACATCGTATATTTTACAGTTGCTATCTGCTAGAAGGAAGAAGCAGACACAGCAGCACTGTGCAGAAGATCATGCTGACGGTGATGACGGTACAGTTGTTGGTGGCTACCGTGTGTATCATCTCATTAAGACTGGCCTCGGCTAGTGAAGTGGCTGTTGCCGACACCTATACCAAAGATGGTGAAGGCTCGCAACAAGTGTCTCCGTGGGTGTTGCCTCAGTGGTGGTGGCTAAGCTCTGTTCTTTCTCTTCCCCAGCGCCCGCCAAGCCAAGGTCACGCCAAAAACTTTAACACGGAAATTAATCTGGGTATATTCAACCAGGCCGCGGTGGAGGACTCAGCGATGCCGCTGGAGCCCCCAAGTGAGAAGGTAAAATATGAAGAGTCAAAGGATGTACACACTACTGTAAGTGAGTTGAACAAGCGCTCACGGCTGTGCAAATCATCAGGTAACAACAGATGTCACCGTGGAGTAGCTAACATGATTCCCGCGTCTGAGGTCAAGCAGAGTTGGAAAAATGATTACTTGTCGGTGCCTGAAGCACTCGTCCAGTTTTCCCAGGAGCACTCAGAGGAGACAGTGTGTAAGGATTTGTCTGTCCAGCTGTTCCGTGTTGACCTGTCGGAGGACTACCTGGAGCCACTGTGGGTGCGGGGAACGGTCCATCTGGGGATGTGTCCCTCCAAACTGCAGACGCGGCATCTGGGAGAGAATGTTTGGCCCCCGAACTTGGTGGAGACCAAGTGTCTGTGCCAGGGTGAGACTTGCTCCAACTTGGGGGGTGACTTTCGGTGCCAGGCAGTGCGGCGGCCCATCAGGATGTGGGTGCGACACTTAGACCAGTTTATACCCACTCAGGAGATGGTATCGGTTGGGTGTGTGTGTGTTCAGCGCATCAGCCCAGGGGGTAACTCCGCCAATCCTTCGCTCCAATCTTAATTATGACACTCCAAGCACTCCTCCCCCCCCCCCATACCCGCCTAGGGATCAATTTGTCTGGGTTTCCTGAGCGTCCAAACAGGAACAAATAAAGCAGTCGCCTCACAACCACAGTTCTGTACCACGATCACAGACTAGCAACACTCATCAAATTCAACTCCAAAACCATTGCTCCAGTTTACAGAAATATCAACATACTTTCGACATTAACAACCTTCATCAAAAGGACGCCAATCTCGTAATGCGTTACCACTCTTATCCAGAGTCCCGGGCATCGAGGCAATTGGACTCTGGTGCCCGGAGTCCCGGGCATCACTGCCCTGCCCTGCTTCGAGGAGCAGGACAGCCGTAGCCACCAATATGGACTGACGACGCTACCAATGTTACTGTGCCATCCCGGGGGTCAATACGTAACAAGAATCCATTAAGGCCTTTTTACCGATAATGTGGCACAAGACAGTGGTGTCGACCATACTCGGTCACCAAGTTACAGCCCCGCTCCTGTGCCGGGTAAGTCCATTACGGGCTCACCATAGCCCGTGCTACTTGGAACATTTGGTTCGATTGGTTTAATCTAAAACAACAACAACCTGCCACACAATACAGCGACCAATGCAGTGAACACTACAACCATCCACTGCAACGACCACCACATCCAACCACCCACTGCAACGACCACCACATCCAACCACCCACTGCAACGACCACCACATCCAACCACCCACTGCAACGACCACCATATATAAATATAAATATAAATATAAATATATATATAATATATATATATATATATATATATATATATATATATATATATATATATATATATATATATATATATATATATATATATATATATATAGTTAAACAAATCCTAGCTTTTTATGGTAGTGCTTTCAGGCCTTTGCGCTGACACTACAAATAAGTTTTAACTCAACGGTAATCAGACGAACTCCGATTTCTTTGCAAAAATTAATATTTAGTTAACTCTGAGAACTGTTTGTTTACTTAGCTGTGATTGCGGGCGCTGAGCTTCAGCTCCTGGGATCCGCATTTTACCCTCGTATTTATAATCCACTCTGGTAATATTAACTATAGAAACTAGATTTTCTATTAATTCTTCGTATTTTTTAGTATTTTAGTTTCATAATTAAGACGAATGAACAACATGAGCTCTGCAGGATGATTCTCAGTTCTATGTTTTTTTAATTCAAAGTCAAAATATTAAAAATCAAATAAGAACAATCTGTCCTCTTATATAGGTGGTGTCATATAGTGAGTTATGAATACATAGGTTACCTTACCTTACTAGTCATCACGTATACAAGCATTTCACACACAGCTGGTTTTATAATTGTTCAAACTGTACATATCGCTAGGTTAGGCTGGACTAGGCTATGATCGGTTAAACTGGATTAGGCAAGGCTAGGTTAGGTTAGTCGATTGAGTTATGTTAGGTTTGATTAGTTTATGCCAGGTTGGGTCTGATTAGGTAAGGAAGTTTTAAATACAAAACATCTGTTGAAGAAATATATGATATAAGAAACGATCTCGATGAATCCCATTTAAAAAGGACCAGAAGTTGGTCCCTAAACAGCCTGTTTTGTCCGCTCCCTGTCTCACCATAGATCTTTTTGGATATGTGTATAGTGTTTGCTTTCACTTCCTCCCTCTTCTAGTTTGTTCTACTTGATGAGCGCATGTATAATTTGGTTTTAGTTGACATGTTGAAGGCTGAGGATTTTGCTTTTGAAGTTGTAATCAGCGATAATCGCCACCAGGCCGACATAGCTTTGTGTTTTAGGAGGGGATGTGGTGGTGGGAGAAGGATGTGGTGGGAGGGGAAATATTTGGAGGAGGGAGGGGAAATATCGGGAGGAGGGAAGGGAAATATCGGGAGGGAGGAGTGGCGGGGGAAGAATCGATGAAGGGGGAATACATATTATTGGCTCTGAATACTGAGACTCGTTTTTTTTTTTTTGTATGTGTACGTTAAACCTAGTGTTGCATTATCAGTCCTAAAGGGATACTATATAAGTTTTCCACCTACAGAGCTGATACATGCATGTTCCATACTTATTGTTGATGTCTCCAAAAGTGTGCTAGTCAGCATTTACACAACATATTTGAATAAACAAATGGTGTAAATTTATAATGTAAACATTCATTGCTGCTAGGTATGGTCTCAATACATGTAGAAAATAGTTATGTATATGAATATAACATATAATTAATATTATATAGCACATATAATCATTATCATATAATATAATCAATATTATATGTAACATATATACCATAATGAGTAACAGAGAGCAATGGATATACATCGAGAGGTGAGCGCTGTTTCTCAGTATGTATACACTGAGAGTTTACTCTACTTCTGGACTATGTTCAGAGCTAAAGTATACTTGCTGGTTGGCTTGAATAAGCTTTTGCGGTATCCTTAATAATACTCCATAAGTTGATAGGCCTTAAACCCTCCATTAAATGAGAAATCGTGCCTGTACTGACCTCTTCTAACCATTATAGATTTGGCATAGGGAATGACTAAGATTAGACATATTATTCTTGAATAAATTATAGTTAGTTTTACTAATGTTCTCACAATTCTAAATATATTTACTCATGCATTACTAAATTGTTAACGATATTTATTGTGCTTGCATCTCTAAGTCACTAATAGTACGTACTTAATTTATGTAAATATATGAATGATCAAGTTCAGTTTGCGTGACACTTTCGACGATATCTGCAGTGGTAATAGCCTAATGAAGCATATTATACTTACAGCAGTTGATTAAATGTAAGGTTTTGTTGAAGGGATAACTTCCATATTATCCATTCATCGCTTAATGCTGGCCCTGTGTTAGTAAACTTATGTATCATTCTATGAAGTATGATCATCCCTCTATGCTTACCCAACTCTGATAAGATTGTTTATACACATAACCTCACAGGAAAAAAATAAAAAACATTCAAAGAAAACCTTGTTGTTTGTCTCCGAATTCGTATGAGTATATTTTCTTCTACCACCCAGACCACTCAGCGCCGGGTGGTGGAAAAAAATCTCCTTCCCCTCTTCAGTCATGACGGGCCCATTTTTAGGGGCCTGTCCCCTGGTTTCAGAGCCTCCCAACAGTAGTATATGAGGTCCTGGTTTTCAGCGCCATCTAGGGATTAGAGTAAGAATTTAGGCATTCAGAAAAAGTAACTGTTTTTACCCGTCTTGAAAATTAAATGTTAAAATTGAATAGTTTCTAACCTTGATTGATCTCCCAGACCACAACCGTGGCGAGAAAAGTTATAACAATACAGGGGTTGACAAGCTGGATTGTGTCCATCCAGCGAAACAGGGTTGCCAGATCCAAATTGCGGAAAGTAGAGAGCTGACGGCCTAAAAGTAGCGAATTTGTAATAAGAGTAGCCCAATTTTTTTTTTTAGTGAATGATATGGGTTTCAAAGTAATATATTTTGATATATAGAGTACACTTCACGATGTTGATTGTTTTATTAATATTATTTCTGCACATACACACACACATATATATATATATATATATATATATATATATATATATATATATATATATATATATATATATATATATATATATATATATATATATATATATATATATATATATATCACTAAGAACTCTTTGACCCGGCCAGGATTCGAACCCATGCCGTCTAGGATCACCCCTAAACGGACACAGTACTGTGACCAGTACACTCCTGTTGTACCTGTCCGGGCAGTCACTGTTGGCATTGAGGCACATTCCTATGTTTGTTTCCTTAGTGTAGACTGCAGTGTGGAAACCTCCGCTCCTTTCCATAACTGTTACATCTAGAAAGGGCAGCTTCCCATCCTTCTCCATCGTAAGTGAAACGCAACACAGAATTCCGCTCAAATGCCTCCTTCAGCTCCTGCAGATGTCTGACATCAGGTACCTGTGTAAAAATGTCGTCAACATACCTGCAGTATATGGCCGGTTTCAAGTTCATGTCGACTAAGACCTTTTGTTCGATGGTACCCATGAAGAAGTTCGCAAACAGGACACCTAGGGGAGAACCCATGGCGACCCCATCTACTTGCTTATACATGTGCCCATCCGGGCTCAAGAAGGGTGCCTCTTTAGTACAAGCTTGGAGTAGTTTCCTTACAATGTTTTCTGGTATGTCAAGAGGAATACAGTACCTGTACTGTACAGGTACAGTACACCCTTCTTGAGCCCGGATGGGCACATGTATATGCAAGTAGATGGGGTCGCCATGGGTTCTCCCCTAGGTGTCCTGTTTGCGAACTTCTACATGGGTACCATCGAACAAAAGGTCTTAGTCGACATGAACTTGAAACCGGCCATATACTGCAGGTATGTTGACGACATTTTTACACAGGTACCTGATGTCAGACATCTGCAGGAGCTGAAGGAGGCATTTGAGCGGAATTCTGTGTTGCGTTTCACTTACGAGATGGAGAAGGATGGGAAGCTGCCCTTTCTAGATGTAACAGTCATGGAAAGGAGCGGAGGTTTCCACACTGCAGTCTACACTAAGGAAACAAACATAGGAATGTGCCTCAATGCCAACAGTGACTGCCCAGACAGGTACAAGAGGAGTGTCATTAACGCTTATGTCGACCGTGCTCTCAGCCAGAGCTCAGGATGGAAGCAAGTCGATGAAGAACTCTGTAGGGTAAGGCAGGTCCTAGTCAACAACGGCTTCTCCAATGGTTTCGTTGAAGACATCATAAGAAGGAAGGTGAAACGCCATGCAACCTCTGAAGAGACAACTAACACAACACCTGTACCCCCTATTAGACTATTTTACAGGAACTTCTTTTCCACAGCTCATAAAACGGAGGAAAGGGTCCTGAAAGATATTGTTAATAGAAACGTTATCCCTACAGACAAAAATCAGAAGATACAATTGACGATTTACTATAAAACCAAGAAAACGGCCAACCTACTCATGAGAAACTCTCCAGACACAAAGCAGAACGCTTTAAAAGAGACCAATGCCGTCTATGCCTTCAAATGCCCACTTGGGGACTGTAAGCCTCAAAGAATTCAGTATATAGGCAAGACAACATCTCTTTCCAGGCGATTAACGATGCATAAACAACAGGGCTCCATTAAGGAACATATAATCTCTTCCCACAACCAGACCATCACCAGAGAAGTCTTAACAAAAAATACGGAAATCATTGATAGATACAGCGATAGCAGGCGGCTTGATATCTGCGAGCACTACACTTCAAGAAGTCAACACCAGCAATCAACAGCCAAATAATGCACAACTATATTCTATCCACTTCAAGACTCCGCACCAATATAGAAGCATCAAGAAATATGGGCCAATAGGCCCTTTGCAGTTACTTCCATTCTTCCCTTTAACTTACAAAATATTATACCCATTGTTTCGTGTTCTGTCTTGTGTTGAAAGTTTGTTTTCACCTCATCCAAAACTGTTGTAACATATCACCTCA